ACCTTGCTAACTGCAAGCAGTGATTCCTGTGCTGACTCCACCTCCTGAAATGTCTCTCAGCACTTCTGTAGTTCAGAAGGCAGGTTCTGTGAAGTGAGTAACACAGCAGAGCCTACTTACATGACTTAGTGAATAAATGTCACCGAATTCAAGGACGTAAATGTGTGGGGATCTTCACAAAGTAAGTTTATAGATTTCAAGATTATTCAGATTTAAAGGAATATTATAGAAATAATTAAAACTCCATTTGGAATTGAACCACTTTCCGCCTGTATGCCGTATATGTGTGTGGGTGTGTGTGTATATATCTCAGGTTAAAGTGGTAATACCGGATCACAGTTGCAGTCACAACCATGATCATGGTATTGTTAGTTAGTGTATTTAAATCTGCTAGTACACCTAACACTGCCTTCCCCCTCAGACTGACAATGTTGCTGGCTAAAGGTGCCCCCTGTGCTCCTTCATCCAGAGTGGGGTCGCACTAATATGGGGGTGTGTTGCTGACTAGATCACTAGTTTCTGCCAGAGCTGTTTTTGCATATTTTGCACACGTTTAAAAAAATCATTTTAGGCCTGAAGATTACACAAAACCCCCAATATATATATGTTTTCTGAAAGCAGACACCCTAGAGAATACAATAGGGGTAGTTCCAATGTTTTATGCCACACGATGTTACCGCAAAGGTCACTAAAGTGAATTTTAGGGCAAACGAAGGCAGTAAGTTACCCAAAGATATGGCAAAATATAAAAAATGAAAATGCACTGAGTAATCAGATACCCAAACCTTAAATACGGGTGCACCTATGAAATGGCAACAAACTTCAGTAGCCTATATTTTCTATAGGTGACAATTCAAAAGCCCCTATAGGTCACCAGTTTAGCATTACAGAGGAGGTCTTGTTTTATTGCTCTCACCCCGGCGTACGCAGTGATATGTAACATGTCTATCGCAACTGACGTTTTCATGCGCAGATGGCCTGATGTGTGCGTTTACATTTGTGCATGCATATTTGTGGAGGTGGGGGGGCCTCAAAATATTTGGGGGGATGTTATGTGCTTGGGTGTAACTTTATTTTTTGAAAATAAAAACAAAAATTCTTGTTTTTTATACATGCAGGGTCTAAAAGATCATACATGTCTCCTCTGGGCTCCGCTGGATGTATTGCAAAGTAGACCGCATTGCAATACATTGCTTCTCAGCTGTGCTAGCAGCGAACATGACAGGGGTGACCCAGAAGTGGCGTCACACATGTCACCTTCTGGCTCCCCTCCACTCGTCAGCACCCACCATGGTGCTCCCCAGGTCCGCAGATGGGCAAGCGGGGCCCGAATACACGGGCACGGGGGGACACCAGGACCGGGGCTGTGGAAGCAATCGGGCAGCAGTGCAGTCACCAGGCTGTTTCCATCTGACAGGCAGGAGTGGCTGCAGCCACCGGATTGTGTATAAAACCCCCCTCTGTCAGGTCTGTACGTCGTAAGGATCTGGCAGTGAAAGGGTTAATAGATGATTTTCTAGTTTGACCATAGATACACGATAAGTATATTGATTTCAATCTTTCTCACAGACTAAAACCAGCCAGAGATGGATCGAATCTTAGTCAGTTCAACAGGGACCAGCTGAGATTCGATCCACATAAGGGCAGGGTGGTTGTACTGAGCTTAATCCATCAATCAACTTCAGTACAACCAGCCTGTTGGATTTCTTTCATGTGATCACTGCCAGAAGCTAGAGCCGCTAGCAGTCATCATCGTGTTTCGCTGGCTGCTAAGGCTCCCCAATAGCATCAAGCAATTTTCTTTCTCTCCGTCTGTGGTGAAAGAAAGAAAATTGCATAATTTATGGACTGCTTAACACCAATTATAGCACCTCTATAGCACAATTAATATTTTTCTGAAGGAAGAATAGCATGTAGCATATATTTATAGGCAAATATGGCTGCTCTCATGTACATCTGCAAATAAAAACTAACATATTTTGATTATTTACAGCAAATGTGCAGATAAAAAAAAATGTAACAGTGAGTGAGGCAGACAGAAAGTACATTATTCAGCATGTTTAGATAAGCCAGCCTCTCAAATGACTTAATTATTACCTCTAAATAATGCCAAGATAGTTTTATAACTGAATGATCATTGCCAAATTGCTTCAGAAATTCGCTAAAAAGATCTTACATAAATGAAATATTTGGCAACCTGTGCTGGAACTAAACAAACATCTCCTTAAACAATGATGTCCCTTTTAAGATTAAATGTGGGAATTCTGCTCTAACAAATCTAGCAATTTCTAGAAAATATGATGGTTAGTTCCATATGGCAAATATAAATAAACAAATGGAAATCATATGTTCTGAAATGCATTTCAGGGACCTATTTATAGAGGTTGAACTGAGTTTTTGCCACTTTCATCGTAACATGACTAGGTGGCAATAACACAGCAAAATTATTTTGTACACAGAAAAAACATACACTATTTATAACTGAGATTTCAACTTTATTGCAAGCCCTCACTCCCACTAGTCACATTATTTATTACTTTTAGCATCACTGGGGGTAGGGGGTTAATGCTGGCAGAAGCAGATTTTGGGCTAAAATCCTCATTTGCAAAGCATCAAATATGCAGTGAATGTGCACAGCAAGTGAGATCAAACAAAATAGGTCCTTCATAAGAATCAATGGCAAATGTGATCAAAAATGAATTTTTTCTTATATGAGATGGGTGAATAGTAGAAAAAACACCTGTGACTAGTGGATGTTACATTCACCATATTATACACTGCTCAAAAAATTACAGGAACACTTTAAAAACACATCAGATCTCAATAAGGGAAAAATATCATGCTGAATATCTAAACTGATATGGACTGGGTAATGTGCTAGGAACATAAGGATGTCCCATCTTTTGATGAAAATTAAAATGATCAACCTACAGAGGACTAAATTTAAAGACACCCTGAAAATCAAAGTGAAAAAATGATGCAGCAAGCAAGTCCATTTTGCTGAAATTCCATTGCAGCAACTCAAAACGGTACCCAATAGTTTGGATGGCACACACGTGCTTGTATGCATGCCTGAAAATGCTGGGGTGCTCTTGATGAGACGACGGATGGTGTCCTGGGGTATTTCCTCCCAGATCTGGACCAGGGCATCACTAAGCTCCTGGACAGTCAGAGGTGCAATCTGGCAGCGTTGGACAGACCGAAACATGATATCCCAGAGGTGTTCTATTGGATTTAGGTCTGGCAAGCGCGGGGGCCATTCAATTGTATCAATTCCTTAATCCTCCAGGAACTGCCTGCATACTCTCGCAACATGCGGTCGGGCATTGTCGTGCATCAGGAGGAACCCAGAACCCACTGCGCCATCATAGGGTCTGACAATGGGTCCAAGGGTTTCATCCCGATACCGCAATGGCAGTCAGGGTGCCATTGCCTAGCCTGTAGAGGATGTTGGGACCTCAGTCCACCCTTGTGAAGTCTGTTTCTGATTGTTTTGTCAGAGACATTCACACCAGTGGCGTGCTGGAGGTCATTTTGTAAGGCTTTGGCAGTGCTCATCCTGTTCCTCCTTACACAGAGGGGCTGATACTGGTCCTACTGATGGGTTAAGGACCTTCTGTGGCCCTGTCCAGCTCTCCTAGAGTAACTGCCTGTCTCCTGGAATCACCAGACCATCACTGACCCACCACCAAAATGGTCATGCTGAACAGGCAGCATAATGCTCTTCATGACTTCTCCAGACCCTTTCACATCTCTCGCATGTGCTCACAGTGAACCTGCTCTCATCTATGAAAAGCACAGAGTGTCAGTGGTGGACCTGCCAATTCTGGTGTTCAATGGCAAATGGCAATCGAGCTCTATGGTGCTCGGCAGTGAGCACAGGGCCCACTAAAGGACGTCAGGCCCTCAGACCACCCTCATGAAGTCTGTTTCGTCTTGTTTGGTCAGAGACATTCACACTAGTGGCCTGCTGGAGGTAACTTTGTATGGCTCTGGCAATGCTCATCCTGTTCCTCCCTGCCCAAAGGAGCAGATACCGGTCCTGCTGATGGGTTAAGGACCATCTACTGACCTGTCCAGCTCTCCTAAAGTAACAGTCTGTCTCCTGGAATCTCCTCCATGCTCTTGAGACTGTGCTGGGAGACACAGCAAACCTTCTGGCAATGGCATGTATTGAAGTGCCATCCTGGAGGAGTTGGACTGCCTGTGCAACCTCTGTAGGGTCCAGGTATCGCCTCTTGCTACCAGTAGTGACACTGACCCTAGCCAAATGCAAAACTAGTCAAAAACAGTCAAAAAAGATGAGTAGGGAAAAAAATGTTAGTGGCCTCCACCTGTAAAACCATTCCTGTTTTGGAAGTCATTTCATTGTTGCCCATCTAGTGCACCTATTGTTAATTTCATTAACACCAAAGCAGCTGAAACTGATTAATTACCCCCTCTGACCAATATCCCAGGAGTTTAATTCACTTGTTGCTATACTCTGTTAAAAAAGTGTTCCTTTAATTGTTTTGAGTAGTGTATATGGTTTTAAGAGCTGGATTTACCATTGAAGAAACATGTGAAACCTTACTCAAAAATGTTCAGCTAAGTCAGACAGTCAAATAGTCCTACTTGTAGCTGGTTCATGTTATTGAGAATGAGTAACAAAAAATGTTAAAGTGGTTCTAAAGGTTAATTTTTTCCACCAAATTAAAAAAATTTTATTCTTACCTGCTCTGTGCAACGATATAGCACAGAGCAGTCACTTAAAGTGTTACTAAAACCAGGACCCTGCATTCACTATATCTGGTCTCCCACAGTACCCACAACATAAACATGCAATTATTTTAGTAAATATAAACTGCCAAATACCTTTTCTCATCAGCAGATAGAGTAGTCTTGTGACTTCAGCAGAGCACTGGTTAAAGCTTGTAGGAGGAGTTTTCTTTCTGCTCTAGGAGGATGCAAAACCCCTCACCTCTGTCTAGACAGTGCTGATTGGCCCTGTGCTGATCACATGCACTCTCCCAAGAAAAAATAACCTCTCTAGCAATACACACCAAATTGAACATGTGCAGAAGGGTTACGGGTTCAGTCTGTTTTATCAGCGTGGACGTTTGAACAAGAGGAGGGGCAGAGATGTCAGGATCATACAGCTTTTTCACACAATGTAGAGGATTAACCCCTTAGGTTGCACAGTGAGTAATAACAAGCATGCTTTACTGCATATACAGACTAATTTTACTGTTGTGGATTTAGTAACACTTTAGCTCTTCTTTAGTGGTCCCTCGTGGTGCTTGTAACAGCGTATACCCAGAGATGGACACGGTTCAACCATTTTGGCTTCAACCTCCATCTTGGCAAAGGGATTAACCATCCTGACAAACATATTTCTCCCTCATTCTTCCCCCCTCCCTTTCTGAGAGGCCCAGTGACATTTGGCCAGTATGTGTGTGAGTTAGGAATGTCACGGGAGAGTCATAGAAGCTACAAAGCCCCCCAAGGGAGCCGGGGCCTCCCTGTCCAAAGAACCTGCAAATTGTAACACCTCGGAAAAGATAAAGCAAGCTTTCCCAGGAGTTGAAAGAGATTCCAACCTAATAAATCTAACTCAGCCTATGTGACAGAATCAGATAACCACTTTTCAAAATCCATTTTGCCCCTATGTCTCATATCTTGGAATATGAGAGACTTGCATAAAAACCGGACATATCGTCATATTGGCCACGAGAAGGCGAACAGTTTGGTAGGTCACTCGCATGGTCTTGCATACATAGGAAAACAGAAAAGTAGATCTTGTGAACCGTACAGTGTATAATTTCATAATTCATATCTAATCAATCCTCAGACGTGTCTGCATAATAATCTACCCGCGGGTGGAATGTCACTTGTGCAGGTGGAAAGTTGTGGGCCAAAATATGAGTTACGGGAGATTTTGGCTCTAGTTGAGGTATCCGCCCATACCTACACGCCCTAAAACGGGTATTGGTCCTTGACTTCAGAGACACCCCCTGCTGGGGACACAAAAATAGGCTGTCAGGCCTAAGAGAGAGAGTGGAAGACGTCTCCCATTTTAACATCAATACCACCTGGGGAGACCCGTGCCCTTTTGCTCTGAAACTTGGATCTGCTAACCCAGGACTTTGGCAAGTACCTTAACCCTTTCACCTCTCTCTGATATCTCTTTGCTGTGCTGTTGGTCTTTGTATGTTTATATATATATATATCTTAGTTTAGTTACATCTTTTCTGTAAATATCTTTATTGCACCCGTTTGACCTTTTAGTAATAAATCTTTCCTTCTGAAAGTGTTGAACTGTTTCTATAGCGCTTTATTGCAATTTACGAATTCTCTTACTAATTTACTCTTTCTCTGTACAAAAAGGAGGTGGTGGCAGTGTGAAGGGTTAATTGCGTAATTAACCTGACCCAGTAACAATCGCTCAGGCTGCCGGTACATTGATTGTGGTCCAATTAGCTGGAAAATCGTTGTGCAGGGTGCAGCTGGGTGTGGCATTGTTACGCACGTGACAGATCAGCTAGTCCTTCGGTCACGAGTTTGGTGAGAAGGGCTGGGGTCTGACGCCACGATCGTGACAGTGCTCTCCTCTTTTCTGAGTGCCCCCACAGCAAGCTATGTAATATGGGGGCACCAGTGTGGGCACACTACTGAGCTGAGCTGTGTGCGTCCATAGACCCAACAATGTGGCTCGGCCATACCCCCCAGCTCCATCCTCACAGGGTTTTACTGATAGCAGCAAGAGCCTAGGGATTCTGCTGCCCTCACTCTGTCCTGTGAATGCAAGAAGAGAGACCAGAGCTGCTGGTCTGGATCAAAAGGAGAGGACTCAGGTAAGTATTCAGAGAGGGGTGTAAACAAGTGGTGGGACTTTTTTTTTAACTTAATACAGGAAGTAAAATGATTTGTTTTTGGTACCAGTTTAAAGTGCTTTTAAAGGCATAAGGTTTCCTATGGAGGCACTGGATGAAGAGGAGGAGCCAGGAGCGCTGGCAGGAGGCCAGAGAAAAGGAATACCAGCTCTGCTCTGTGCAAAACCATTGCACAGAGCAGGTAAGTATGAGATATTTGTTATTTTACTAAAAAAAAAACTATGAAATGTTCATCTTCAACCGTTTCTCACCTGGCCACTGTACATAAACAGCTTTGTGGGACAAGTGCCATTATGACTGGACTTACGTCTTATGTCCTGTCTGAATGTGTGCCTGCATGCAGCCTAGGGGTTGCACAGTGGTGCGATCCCATGATGGCTTTGTCCCTTGGACACAGCACATCATAGATCGGAACATGGGCTCTCCGATTGGCTCTCCCTATCATGTGATGGCTGTGTCCAATCACAGCCATCTCACAATGTAAACAGGCACATGCCTTTGTGTCAGCTCCCCTTCTGAGCTCAGTGAGAACTCAGTGAGGGGATGAAGTGGTGGATCACTGCAGCCTGTCAGCTGTGTGTAGCTCATGATTTTACTGTTCAGCTACACACAGAGAGCAGCTATCCCACACCAGTGCTCCAAACACCATCTGTCCAAGTGCACATCAACATATGCACCAGTGTCCCATCAACATCTGTCACAGTGTACCACTGCACAAAAACATCTGTCACAGTGTACCAGTGTGCGATAAACATCTGCAATAGTGTCCCATTGCAACATCAACATCTGTCAGTGTCCCACTACAACAACATTTTTCAGTGTCCCTAGTGGACCGCCAACATCTGTCACTGTCCACCAAAGGGCAATCAACATCTTTCACATTGTACAAGTGCACAAAAACATCTTTCATTGTTCCAGTGTCCCCTTAACATCTGTCATAGTGTCCCATCAACATCTGTCACATTGTACCAGTGTCCCATCATCATCTGTCACAGTGTACCAGTGTCTCATCAACATCTGTAATAGTGTCCCATTGCAATATCAACATCTGTCAGTGTCTAATCGCATCGCAACATCAGCATCTTTCGGTGTTTGCCAGTGTCCCATCAATATCTGTTACATTGTACCAGTGTCTCATCAACATCTGTCAGTGTACTACTGCAGCATCAACATCTCTCAATGTCCAATTGCAACATCAACAAGTGTAGATTCAGGCTAATAGTTGTGTATTGTATAAACTGAAAACTATAATAGCTGCTACACACACAGCTATTCATGTGCCCACTATTCAAGGCCATTACTCCAGCAACTGAAGCAGTTCTGCCGGCTTACCATAAAGGCCGCAAAGGACCAGAAGGTCTCAAATGACCTGTATGGTGTATGAAACTGGAAGTGACGAGTGCTTTATTCACTTTCGGTTTCCCCGGATTTAAACAGTGCCATTTTTATATAGGAAAAGCATCTGAACACACCGATCTTCGATCATTGTGGGAAAAAATACAACTTAAAAAACTCACCATACCTTTTACTAAATACCTTGGACTGTCTATGTTCCAAAAAGGGGTCATTTGGGGGTTATTTGTACTCTCCTGGCATTTTAAGACCTCAAGAAATTAGATAGGCAGTCAGTATATCAGCTGTGATCAGTTTTCAATGATAGGTACCATAGCTTGTATACTCTGATTTGGGTTATTTTTACCAAAGAAATGTAGCAGTATAAAATGTTGGTCAACATTTATGAACAAAAATTACTTATTTGCAAAATTTTATAACAGAGACTAAGAAAATGTGGTTTTTTTTCAAAATTTTCAATAATTTTTATTTATAGCTCAAAAAAATAAAAAACCCAGTGGTGATTAAATACCACCAAAAGAATGCTCAATTTGTGTGACAAATAATTATAAAAATTTCATATGGGCACAGTGTTGCAGGACTGAGTAATTGTCGTTCAAAGTTTGAGAGCCCTGAAAGATAAATATTGGCCTGGGCAGGAAGGGGGTGAAATGTCCAGTATTGAGGAGGGTAATTACTGTAATGAATATTGTAAGTGAGCCTTTTCATTCCCATTCCTATATATATAGTGGCACCTTCATAATCTACTTAGTGAACTGTTTCAAATGCAGTTTTGTTTTCTCCAAAGCATACAACCTGAGTAGAATATACATGCTGTTGTTAATATGTAAGTTTTGACTTTTTCAAAAGTCAGCAGATAAGTCCTTCTCTCCATTTCTGACCAATCCTTCTGACTGCAGGCATATTCCGAGATAAATGAAATGAAACCATCACACAGTGTCTTTGGCATGTGAGCTGTGATTGACAATTCAACTTCAGCTTGACTATACTGCGTAAGAGGCAAAAGGAGGTGCCCAATGGGGGGAATATTTATTGATAGACAGACTACAGTACAGTCTTTGTTCAATGACTATGCTTTGGTGACTTGGTAATTAGCTAACTAATTTAAATTTGGCAGCGGTTTCTGTGAATATTTGCAAAGGAAAACCTTGTTTTAAATAAGAATAAGGTTTTCAGAGAGCAGCAAATGTTGTAGATATCAATTTCTAAATGTTGGTACTTATGTTTTGTAGTTTTTGGCACTTAACAATATACATAATTATTATGTACAAAAAAGGTCAAAAGAAAAAAAAAACATCCACATAACAAGGGTGAATGACTTCCAAAAACATTATTAAATTGCAAAATGTTTTTTTTCTTATGTCTGTGTTATGCAGTGCAGCCATAATATTAATTACTGGAGACAAATCATCATGACATCACATAAGTACATGAAGTATATCCTTGACCTTTTCTATTACACATTTGCAAAAAAAAAAGAGCATTTTCACAAATGTTCTGTTTTATTGCAAATTACCTAACAAATGTATTCAAGCCATTGACAGTACTGTCAAACTGAGGCAATATTAAGTAAGAAAACCCATAAACTGATCAGGTAAAGGAGGTACCGGTATATCTTGGCATTTTATCTTATTTTAGATTATTTAATTCTGAGTTAAAATCTAGTATTCTGAAAGTATAAACAAATTGGATCCCAAATTCTACACTATATAGTTTACCCTTGGAATAAAATAAGCAGTCTTTTCACTCAGTGTTCTAGTCTAGGTCATCTATTTACAACAGGCATGTTGCCACTGAACTTTTCATTAAACATATTTCTCAATAGCCAAAAGGAATATAAATCCTCTTTGTGTGAACCAAATGCCTTTGCAAAGCCATCTTTTACCATATAAAAGTAACAGTGAATCGTCACTGTGCTTCAGGTGTGCTGTATAGAGAGAAGTGATGTGAGCAGGACCCGAAAGGTACGCACCAGGGGCGGACTGACCATTTGGAAACTCGGGCACTGCCCGAGGGCCCGGGGTCAATAGGGGGCCCCATGAGATGCCCCTGGTACCTTTTTCATAGGCTTTTTTAAGTTTGGGCAACGACACAGGGGCCCCATGATCCCCTATTGCCCGGGGGCCACATGAGTTGTCAGTCCGCCCCTGGTCCGCACACTATAGGCTGCATGCACAAAACTAGAGGAAGGGGCTGATACAAAACTAATCAACCTGCACAAGCAGAAAGAGCAGCAGTCGCTGCCCTTTATTATAAGAAGCTCCTGTATGGAAATAAAGTATTACACTGGATTACTGCACAGTTCTGGAAGAAATACACAAACCACACAAAAATTCAAATAGGAAAACACATGCCTCTTATATTTAGACAATATTTAGTTATGCCAGAGTTCAGGTTGAAACCAAGAGTTTTGTTGTTGGGTCACTTGTAGCCTTCTCGCTTCTTTGAAATCTTAGACCTGTTTAATTATTTAAAGGCTGATCACAATTGCAATACCTTACAGGCTGCAGTGTAAAAAAAAATAATAAATACACAAGGGGGCTACAAGTGACCCAACAACAAAACTCTTGGTTGATCAGCCGATCGCGAGTGCAATGCCAGGCTCCTGCAGACGCTCAGTTAGCTGTCTGACCATACCTCCTGTATGGGCAGGCAGTTGCTGAATGGCAGGAAGAATTCATTATTTAATGTGAGCACTCACCAGTGCCCTCGGAGTCCATGGGAATGATTGATGTGGCCCCACCCAGCTGCACGGTTTTTAAATTCTGACAGCAGGTGTGAGTAGAAGATCCCAAACCCACTGTCACAGGGAAGGGGGATCGGGGGGAGAGAAGACAGGAGCTAGAACATGTTACATGTTCCACCCTAAATATAGGCAGAGCATTTAACATGTTCCAAAGGTGATCTTATCCTTTAAATTGAATGAAGACCCAGCTGTTATCTAGTTACTGTATACTACCTTACTTTTACAGCCGAAAGCTACAAGGAATGTTTAATGACCCTTTATTTTAGTATAAGGCAAGCCATGGATGATTTGGTTTTTTTTCCTGTAAGAAAGAAAATTGTTTCATTCCCCCATCTGCACAAGAAGTGTTGATGGGGGACTCCCTCCCACAGACCTGTAGTATTCTGATGGGAGAACACAATAATTACTGCTAGCAGCTATAGCGACCAGCATCAGTTACATGCAAAAAATCTGACAGGCTGGTTGTACTGAAGTTGATTAATGAATCAGCTTCAGTACATTCAGCCTGCCAATACTTGGATCAAATCTCAGCCAGTCCCTGCTGACCCAGCCAAGATTTGTCCATCTATGACTGGTAGGCTTACTCTTAGTAACGACATAATGGGGTTGATTTACTAAAATTGGGTACAGTTGTACATGGTAATGGAGACGCAGCAGCAACAAGAAGAGAGCTTTCCAAAGCAAGGCACTATTCAGTCTTAAAAAAGGTGTTTCCATAACAGGTTTAGCCATTAGATTTTTTCTCACTGTCTATTTCTATACCAGGTACGATGGTCACCAGGATCAATACTGAAGGTCCCGAACTAGGACAAAGAAAACAATAAAATCAAACAGGGGGGGTTCTAACCATCTACTCCATCCAAAGCTGAAAAAAATAGTAATTTGGCTTTATATACATTATTTCTGTCTGACATTACTATGACTTAAATAATAGTACACTGAATTTGTAGCATCAATTACTGTGTTTTTTAGTTTCTCTTTTTTTTTTTTTTTTTTTTAAGAAACATGTTGCAGATTACCTTCACAGAGCTTTTGCTTCATGATCTCCCGTATTCTTGATATCGCAATGTAGTCTTCAACGTAGAACACATATGTTGAGGAAGGCTTATTGGCTATTGCTCTTAGTTCACTTTCTTCAATCTCAGAGCCCACACCAATGGCAAAAAGAGTAATTTTATTTTTTCTTGCTTCTTCTGCTATGTCCTTTACATCATCTTGAGATTTTCCATCAGTTAGAACAATGGCAATCTTGGTTAATGGCCGCAAGGATCTAGCAAAAAGGTTTTCTATTGCAAACTGAATTGCATTTCCAGTCCTTGTATTCCCACCTAGATAATCAATATCTTGCATTCTTCTGATAAGATCTTCTATAGATTCATGTCTTCCAAGAGGGATTTCAAGAACTGGGTAGTCACTATATTGAACCACTCCAACTTGAGTAAATTTAGGTCCAATGTCAAAATTACTTGTAATGTTAACAACCCATTTTTTTAGTATTTCAAAATTTTCAGGACCTACACTCCAAGAGCCATCTAGAATAAAAACTAGATCATTTGGAGCAGTTCTGCAACCTAAAGGAAAAGGGACAGAAACAGTTATGTTCATATATACATTTAAAAACAATGAAAAATTCAAAACTACTTAAAGTTTTAGAGAAACAACACACTTCTAGGCAGAGAGCAGGCAATACCCTGGAATCATTTATCATGATGGCTTTAGTATGTTTAGGAAAGATGGCATCAACATGCCAAATTCACCTTTTCAAGAAAATTACTTATACAGTCAAGGGGACCCAATAGGTAAAAAAACCAAAAAACAGTGCAGCTTTGAAAAACGATTATTGTAATTGTCAGTCTCCCGCAGCCTTGCTGAAAAATTCTCAGAGAATTCTTAGAAGTTTCCCATCCTTCCTTGTTGCTAGGATGCTCCAACCATCATCACAGGAGTGGTCACTCTCCTTTGGTTAAAGTCCTACGCATGCATTCTCTCCCTCTTTTGCAGCAACAGCTGAGCTTGCTCTTGCTGCAGCAGAGAGAGAGGATGCACTGTGCATGTGTGATGTTTTCAACAAGGGAGAGTACTCATTTCTATGATACTGGGGGCAAGCAATGGCTGGAGCACCCTACCAACAAGGCAGGACAGCGGAATGCTAACCATAGGATTTGTGGGGTTTTTGTTTTTATCTACTTACCAAGGTACTTCACCACTTTTCCCTGATGAAGACTATTTGATAGGTGAAATGTGTTGGTAACTTTGTGGTGCATTTCAATTTTGTACAGTTTGTAATAACTGCTTAATGCATGTTATCGTGGGAAGTGTAAAAAGTCTGTATGTACAGAGACCATTCAAATCGACCGCAGGCTGCGGGAACGTCGGCAAGAAAGGGCCAATCCGAGTACCAGGCCCACATGGGTGTTACCAGGGTTCAGCTCCCATCTACTCCTCCAATTGGAAATCGAGGTCAAGAAGTGGCTGCGGGACCTGAACCGATGCAAATCGGATTAATGCGGCCCTCTCTGACTCCTGAAGAACGCCAGAGGCGCCAGCTGAATAACTTGTGTCTGTACTGTGGAGCAGCTGGCCATATGGTTTGTTCTTGTCCGGAGAAGATGAGTAAGTGTGCATCTGTTGCACACAGATAAAAAGGGGGTGCAGTGATTTATCGGTTTTGCAGACTTTTACCGAAAATTCATTAAGAATTTCTCAGGCCTGGTTTCTCCTATCACCCAAATTACCAAATCGGGAATATGTTTTCACTGGACACCAGAAGCGCAGGTGGCCTTTGAGACCCTGAAAAAGTTGTTCATGGCAGGTATTTATTGGAAGGAGCCCTGCATCCAGTCTTGGTCTACACGGCCCAAAAAATATGGAATACCTCAGGATGGCTAAGCGTTTTAGACCACGGCAAGCCAGATGGGCGCTGTTTTTTTCTCAAGGTTCACCTTCCACATAACCTATCGGCCTGGCTCCAAGAACACAAAACCTGACGCCCCGTCTCGAATGTTCTAAGACCCCAAGGAAGTTCCTAAACCTGATACCATTCTGCCAGCGGGTAACTTCCTGCTACTACAGTCAGAACTCCTGTCTAAGCTACAAGCCGCATCTATGGGGGCCCCCAATCCATCCGGAGTCTCAGTGCAAAAAGAGAGGGATTGCTATGGAAAGGGGAACAGATTGTGGTTCCTGAAGGAGCTTGAACCATGGTCTTGGCCTACTGTCACGACCATTCATTGGCGTGGCACTTTGGAATAAGCAAGAGGTTAGAGCTGACCCAGCGCACATTTTGGTGGCCAAGTATGGCCAAGGACTGCGAAACTTATGTCAAAACCTGTGCCATCTGTAACAGAAATAAGCCTACACGGAGTAAAGCTTGGGGTCTACTATGGCCCTTGCCGGTACCTGACAGACTGTGGAGTATGGTGTCTATAGACTTCATTGTGGAACTACCGCCCTCTCAGAGCCACACCACAATCTTCGTGGTAGTTATCCAAGATGGCTCACTTTCTGCCGCTTAGGAACATACCCTCCGCTCCCGAGACCACACAGCTCTTCATCAAAGAAGTCGTAAGGCTCCATGGAGTTCCTAGGAACATCGTATCAGATCGGGGAGTTCAATTCACGTCAAAATTTTGGAGAGCCCTGTGCGAAATGCTGGAGATTAAGCTGTCATTTTCCTCGGCATACCACCCGCAGACGAACGGGCAGACGGAGCGGACTAACCAGACGCTGGAACAGTACCTCAGGTGCTATACCTCTTTCCTTCAGGACAATTGGCTGGCACTCCTGCCCCTAGCAGAGTTCGCCTATAATAATGCAAACCATTCCGCCACCAAGCAGTCGCCTTTCTACGCCAACTATGGGTTCCATCCCAATTTCCTTCCGGATCTGATTCCAGAAAACTCAGTGCCGGCAGCTCAAGATGTGTTAAACTTCTTCACATCTAACAACAAATTGCTACGGGAAGCGGTAACAAAGGCTCAGTAGGATAACAAAAGAGCATTTGATAAAAGGAGAAAGGGGGAATTGGTCATTCACCCAGGAGATCTGAAGATGGCTTGTCCATCAAAGAAGTTAGCACCCAAGTTCATAGGCCCTTTTCCGGTGAAACGACAGATCAATGAAGTAACATTTGAATTGGCACTGCCTGGATCTTTTCAGATACACCCAGTATTTCACATGTCCCTGTTGAAACCTGTAACTCCAGATCCTTCCCAGATCGAAGATCAAGACCTCCGGTAGCCTTGGAAATTGATGAAAAAGAAGAGTTTGAGGTGGAGGCAATTTTGGATTGCAGGAGGAGAGGAGGTCGGGTG